TCATCAACTGCTGCCAAGCCGGCCCATTCTACCTCCTCCTTCGTCCATCGTCCTCTTCCAACACGCCACACCTTTCCTACTTCAGTTTCTTGGAATTTACCATCACCAACAGTATCCCGACCCAACAGGCCTCTATATATTCAGATAACGAACCCCAAAACTAAAATAACAACAACAACATTCCCAGTTGTTTATTGTACTGACAACAGCAATACTACTAGTGCGACAACCCAAAACAGAGAACCAGAAGGTTCGAAACCCCGTTTGTTCTTTGGCCAACAAATTCGGATTGGTATGCTGATCATGATGACAATATTCATGGATAAGTACATTGCCGGAACATTCTTTGCCTCTGTTTTTGGTTTTCTCATTCTCTGCATTTTGCAACTTAGGAGTAATAAACAATATAAGCAGAAACCGCACGCAGACCGGCCCTGCTTAGACATTCGGAGCAACCAGATGGCGGTTGATGAATGCCGGACCGGCTGGGACTCTGATACCGATGTTATCATAGTCGGTGCGGGCGTCGTTGGTGCAGCCTTATCGTACACCCTTGGGAAGGTCGAACGCCAACGCCTGCCCTGCTCACCTCCACCCACATACACTCCCCAAACACCCCCCCCCCCAAAAAAAAACAAAAAAAATTCATATGAGCGTTTTCTCAAAGTACTATTCCGTTTTAAATTCTGTAAAAGATTTTTTTTTTTTAAATTTAATGTTTCTGTAAGCCCAAAAAAGATAAACCAAGAAAGAGTCTTCCTGGGAGTATTTTGTATAGGTGAATTTGTTTGAAGGAAGGGTTTGCACCAAGAATCTTAGCATTAGAGAGAAAAGAGGAAGAGTCTATAGGAAAGTTTTTTTTTTTAATAATTATATGTACTAAGATGGGTGACTATCAGTTCTCTATTTACTCTTGGATTGTTAACAGGTTTTCTTTGATTATGATGTATTGAGCATTTAATTTATTTCCTTACAAATAAATAAAGGGATGGTTTTCTGAACTGAGAGCTCTGATGACTTGGAGCTCACCTTTCCTACAGTAAAAATAATATCTGGCTATTGTCAGCGATGTTATCTGGCATGAAGTAGTTTTGGAGTTTTTCAGCATTGTCACTTATGTAAAAACAATATACGAAAAAAATACTTTTTTGAAGTTCGGCTTGGTTTTAGTTTCTCCTTTCACTTCACCACAGTGGAGTTCTATAATATACGATGTAATCTTTTATTGCTGTTGCAGGAAGGAAGGAGAGTCCGTGTAATCGAAAGAGACTTGAGTGAGCCTGACAGAATTGTGGGTGAGCTGCTACAACCAGGTGGATATCTCAAGTTAATTGAGCTGGGACTGGAAGGTATGTTCTTAACGTTTTGCCAATCTTCTTGTTTGGTGAAACATCAGCTTTGTGGCTCTTTTTTTTTTTTTTTTTTTTTTCGGGTGGCAGAAGCTGATTTTTAGTAGCCTGACGTGGTTTCCCATTTACTACAGATTGTGTAGTTCACATTGATGCTCAGCGAGTGCTTGGTTATGCTCTTTTCAAGGACGGTAGAAGCACTAGAGTTTCTTATCCCTTGGAAAATTTCCATTCAGATGTCGCAGGCAGAAGCTTTCACCATGGGCGATTTATTCAGAGGATGAGAGAAAAAGCAGCTAGCCTTGCCAAGTAAATTTTATTTCCCACTTCTGTAGAGCACAAATGTCTATCTTGCTTCTTATCTTATGCCAGAACAAATGAGGAACCAAATTACTTTCCTGGATGCTTACAATTCATTTTCATGCATTGAATTTCACTACTTGCGTGCTATTTTAACTGACCCTTATCAAATTCTGATCACTACTTCCAACGCGCATCTCTTTGAACATGTTGATATATTAATTGCTCGAATATAGATACCAATTTAGTAAGCTGGAAAGATCAATTGGTATCTATAAGTTTTCTGATAACTTCTGCTACAGAATAAAATGAAAAGAGCAAAGAGAAGAAAATAAAAAATATATATATAATCTATGGTTCCTTTTAGACTTGTTCGTGCCTTAGGATGTCCAATTTACTAAGACTTCCAGATTAAGGATCCATAAAAAGTTTATCTTTTGGACCATGCACCACATGTATAACCATCATTTACATTTCTGATTTTCTAAATATCTATTTTTCTTGAATATCTTCTTGGTTCAATTTTCACTAGTGTACGACTGGAACAAGGCACTGTGACATCCCTGCTTGAAGACGATGGCACTGTAAAAGGTGTTGAGTACAAAACCAAAAGCGGCAAGCAGCTGAAAGCTTATGCTCCTCTTACAATAGTGTGTGATGGGTGCTTTTCAAATTTGCGACGATCTCTCTGCAGCTCTAAGGTACAACCTCAAAAGCAATGGCTTTGTGTACAATTTCTTGTCTGCTGCATTCAGATCTGGATCAAATCAAATTAAACTGAAGCTTGTCTCTTTATCTTTATTTATTTTTATTTTGTTAGAATACTGTTTGAAAAAAAAAAAAGTTACATTAATATCTCTGCTATTTGCTCTTCACTCCCAAGTGGAATGCTTAAATCTTTGAAAGTTTGTCAGTATAACCATTATGTTTCATGTAGGTGGAGATTCCCTCTTGCTTTGTTGGTTTGATCTTAGAGAACTGTCAACTTCCGTTTCCAAATCACGGGCATGTCATTCTGGCAGATCCTTCACCCATCTTGTTTTATCCAATTACTAGCACAGAGATACGTTGCTTAGTTGATATACCAGGGCAAAAGCTTCCTTCCATTGCTGATGGTGAAATGGCAAACTATTTAAAGACCGTGGTGGCTCCACAGGTACTTAAATAGTGTTAAGTTCATCCTTCAAGTTTTTACATATAGAATATCCCCTGTGTAGCATGTTTGTGTATGCTTTAGCGCTTTTTTTTTAAAAAAAAATTAATTTTTTGGCATATGCTTTAGCTTTCTGCATCTCAATGTCCATTTCTTTTCTTTTCTTTTCCCTGGTTTTGTTCTGGACATGGGAGAGTTGTCGTGTTTTTGGACCAACTTCAATTGATTTATATGTTGCTTGACCTAGATTCCTGCAGAGCTACATGATGCTTTCATATCTGCTATTGACAAAGGAGACATTAGAACAATGCCAAACAGAAGCATGCCAGCTGCTCCACATCCTACTCCTGGAGCACTACTGCTGGGTGATGCTTTCAACATGCGTCATCCTTTAACCGGTGGAGGAATGACCGTAGCCCTTTCTGACATTGTAGTGTTACGAGATCTGCTTAAACCGTTGCAAAACATGAATGACGCAGAGTCCTTGTGTAAATATCTCCAGTCCTTTTACACATTGCGCAAGGTAAGCTAACCTGCAGTTTGAATTAGAAGATGTTGAAGCGTTTATTCAGAAAATGAAGTTTTGGTAGATATTTAGTCTGACACAAGGAATAGTTTCATTTTTTTTTTCTTTGATTTCCACGTTTAAAATGCAATTCTCATAAAAGAGAAGAAAGAATGCAATTCTTACTTGCCATATACATGTCTACCATCTAGCTTCTGCATGCTGTCTATGAAGAAAATTCCTCATAATATTGACACCATTCATGGTCCTTAATATGCAGCCAGTGGCGTCTACGATAAATACGCTGGCTGCGGCCCTATACAAGGTGTTCTGTGCTTCTTCTGATCAAGCAAGAAAGGAAATGCGCGAAGCATGTTTTGATTATTTGAGCCTTGGTGGCGTTTGTTCGAATGGACCTATAGCTCTGCTCTCCGGTTTAAATCCACGACCACTGAGCTTAGTTCTCCATTTCTTTGCTGTTGCCACATATGGCGTGGGACGTTTATTGACCCCTTTTCCTTCTCCCAAGAAATTGTGGATTGGAGCTAGATTGATTTCGGTATGTAAAGAAAATCCTTTTCCAACAAATGATTAGTGCATCCCAAGGCATTGATTTCCTTCTTTTAGCACCAAAATCCAGCTTCCCCAATTTCTTTTTAGCCAACATGTTAAAAGTCTGCCAATATGCAAACAAGGTTTTTGCATACAACAGAGAGTGATTCTACGAGACAGTTTGAGTTTCCTTGACCATAAACCATGCTTAGTAATCACTTGTTATTCATAAACTCGTTTTCTCATTTCTCACTGATATGGGCGACTTTTACCACGGAATCCTTTCGGCAACAGCAACAAATTGCACTTGTGACATTTTATCTTTCCTTCTCTGAGTTGTTAACTGACTTCCTCATGCACTTTTAATCATTAAATAGTACCCTTTTAATTATAAACGTCAATTTCCCCACACATTTTGGAATGTCTTTGAGCATTGGTCATTTTCATGACTTGGCAAACTTCCTGTCTCCAGGGTGCATCAAGTATCATTTTTCCTATCATCAAGGCTGAAGGAGCGAGGCAAATGTTTTTCCCTGCAAGTGTTCCTGCATATTATAGAGACCCTCCTCAAGCATGAAAATACCGAGTTTATCAGGCCTGAACACAATTTAGCGACTTTCACCCGTCTCCTCTTACTAAAAAGCAAGGGACGTTATGTGAATTTTTGATCTGCCAGGAGACAGAAGCTGTAGAGTAGACTAAAACTGTGAACAAAACTAAAAATTTGAAGTTTAGGCATCTGATAAAACTGTAAAGCATGAATCTCCCATATTACATTGGCTCATATTTTAATAGAAAAACCATCTTACTTCTAAACTTCTCGTACCGTCGCCAACATCAACATTGAACCTTCTTACTTTCATGGCTTTTGGGTGCTCTTCAGCGAAAATGGTAATTTGCCACTACAATAAATTGTTCTGGTTCTCAAGTACAATTTAGGCAGCACATTATATTTCCTTATCTAAAAAATATGCGAGGCCGCGTATTAAAAATAAGGTACACATGTAAACTAGTTTAATGGGTTCGTAGTAATTAGCTGATAAGGATATGGTACTTCTTTTATGGTAGTTTTCTTAACTTCAACAAGGAATGTCAATGCAAACTCCTGTCTAAGAGACTTGTAATATAGGAAGAGTTAAAATAGTAAAAAATAGAAGTTATGATTCCAATTTGTTCTGCCTTGGCCATTGATTTCCTTTGTAGCCTTTTATAGGAATGCACTACACAAACAGCGAAAACAGAGCTTTCCTCAGGTTAATTATGATTAGTCAAGACATAGGAGAATGAGGTAACTCGAAAACTAGTCAAAGGTTGCCTCTCGAGTTTTCAAGCTAGCGTCTGCGTTTCAAGCACATGGATTTGGCACGGACTTCTTCGAGCTACGAGGCCATGATGTCCAAAGTTTTAAGTGCTTCACATTTACTGCACGTCTCATACTTGCTTTCAAATATATCATGGCAATCATGCCAACGTGACCAATCTTTTAGTCCTATGATCTGATCCAACTTCTTCCAGGTTGCTTCATCACTCCCAATTTCTTAATCAATTCCCGCACATCAGCAGACTCTGTCCATTTTCCTGCATCTGCATAGATTTTTGATAGAAGCACATAAACTGCAGGATCATGCTTTTCAGTTTGAAGCAAGAAGCCAGCAACTACTCTTCCTAATCTCAAGTTACCATGAGCTGCACAGGAACTAAATAATGTCCACCAGACACCTGAATTTATGTCAACATGCTTGCTGCTTATTAATCTTTCGGTCTCATCAAGGTAACCTGCTCGACCTAGAATGTCAATGAGGCAAGAGAAGTGGTCTACATCTGGTTCAATACCATAAGTACTGACCATGGAGTTAAAAATTCGGCAGCCATCATTGACTAAACCTGAATGGCTACAAGCTGAAAGAACTGCAGTAAAGGTAGCCTCATCAGGTTTAGTGTCAGAATCTTGCATCAGCTCAAAGCAACGGACACCTTCCCTACCTTCTCCATTTTGTGCATATGCAGATATCATGGAATTCCATGAAACTGTGTCTTTTGAAGTCATTTTATGGAAGATCCTCAAAGAAGAACACAAATCACCACACTTTGCATAAAGAGTAATGAAAGCATTATTCAAAGATGTCTCCAAAGAATAATGAACTTTGAGTGTGTAGGCGTGCACCTGTTTTCCATGCCGCAGAGCTGAAATGCTGGCACAGATGTTCAGAACAATGCTGAGAGTAAAAATGTTAGGAATAAATCCTGACAACACAAGCACTGAAAATTGCTCCAAACCCTGGACAGGAAATCCATTCAATTGATACCCGGATATTAAAGTATTCCAGGATATCAAATTTTTGGTGTTCATTGTATAGAATAATCTGTAGGCCTGGTTAATGTAACCATGCCTGGAAAATGCTGAAAGCAACGCATTGGAAACTTCGACTTTCAAAAGTAGAGCGTTTTTCACAACAGCAGCATGAATCATCTCAACATTCACTACTGACTCTGAGCTTACTAGTAAGCTTCCAATTGTGAACTCATCTGGTTTCGCCCCTTCTCTCTGCATATGAGAATAGACTAAGATAGCCTCTCTGCCCAAATTCTCATTAGCATAGCTTGTTATCATGGTGTTCCACGACACATTATCTTTCTCTATTAGTCTCTCAAAAACCACACGAGCTGCATTTAAGTTCCCACAGTTACTATACATTGTTATTGCTGCATTACTCACAGAAGTACAATCTTCAAAACTCATCTTTATCGCTTGTGCATGCACTTGAATAGCATCCCTTAAACAATAAGAGGAACTCATTATACTAACAAAACTCAACTCTGTAGGCCATAGACCAGCACTTTGCATATTCTTAAACATTAGAAATGCATCCTCCTTTCTTTCCATGCTGACTAGACCAGCTATCATTGCATTATAAGTTATCTGATCATGCACAATACCTTTTTCTTCTTCAAAAACTCCATGAGCATCACCAATCCTTCCGCATGCAAAATACATTGTAAGCAAAGCATTAATCACCGAAGTTTTAGCTAGAAGTCCAGACTTGATAACCAAAGAATGCACTTGCAATCCAAAGTCCAACAACTCCAAAGAACAAAGACTCAAAACACTAGCCAAACTATAATTATCACGTCCAACACCCAAAGAATGCATCTTCTGGAACAATCTGAATGCAATCTCATCAGACCCATTTTCTGCACACCCTGTGATCATCGCATTCCAAACAGCAACATTTCGTTGTGGCATTTTATCAAACATCTGACAAGCATATTCAACGTCCCCGAGCTTTGCACACGCAGATAACAATGTTGTCCATGAATAATCATCTGGGCTTTCAATTTCATTAAAAACCCTTTTCACTGAACTCAAGTCTTGTGATTTTGCATAAACCAAAAGAAGAGTATTTGAAACGTGAGGAAAGAAAATGAGCCCGGCCCGAATGGCATTAGCATGGAGCTGGTTGCCAGTGCTCCTGTCCCGGAGGTTGGCGCAGGCTGTGAGGGCGGCGGAGAGGGTGTAATGGTCAGGTCTGAGATGTGGGGACGAATTAATTTGGCTGAATAGTAGGAGGGCGCCAGCATATTGCTCGGAACGAGTGAGTTTTATAAGCTGGCGGTTGAGTTTGATTAGTTTGTTGGCGCAATTCCCACTTATGGTGGTAGTCAAGAAGCCTACTCCTCGTAACATCTGACGTTCATCTTCCCACTTGGATTGATGAAATTATGAAACACAAGTGACTTTTAGCATATTTTGTACACACAACGTAGGCTTAATCTTTCCTATATACCATCAGTGTAAGGTTGATGTATGTCATATCAATTGAATTTAAACATCAAATTTTATATATGTGAAACGACGAAATTTTGTATATGTGATATTCATTTAGATTTTTATTTATATCTATTAGTATATGGTATTATTAATGCATAAAAGATTTATCGTTATTAAATAAAAAAAGTCCTATATATGTATATATATTAGGGAGAAGCTTGCGCTAAACGCGGGAGTTTTAACCTATGTGATAAAATATTTATTCAAATAAATTTAAAAAAAAAAGATACTAGTATTATAACTGTATGGTAACTGGTTTAATTGAAACAGTTGAAGTGCATGAAATTATAAATAAATTGGTCAAATCAACAAACTTATAAATAAATTGGTCAAATCAACAAACTTATAAAGAAAAACAAATTTATAAGTAAAAGAAATAGAATTGTAATAGATAAGCAAAAACATCATTACCTTTCCAACAGTCATGTATAAATTCCTTTATACATATATATATAATACTTTTAAATACCTTTCCAAAAAAAAATCATGTGATCTTTTATTTTTTACTATTTTAGGAAAAATGTCCAATTTAAGATCGACTCAACCTCTTTTTTTTTTCTAAAAAATCAACAACCTTTTTTCTTTTTAAAATCAACACAAACTTGATTATTGAAGTGTCAATTAACTGTTGGAAAATTTGTCAAATTGGTCCCTAATATTTTTACAAAAAACTTTTTTAGTCTCCAACATTTAAAATCACCCAGAATTGTCCCTAACATATAAATTATGATCCATTTTGATCCTAATGCTCGTATTTGCTCATTTTTCCGACTAAAAATGGCACGCCTCTCTCACGTGGGCATATTTTTAAGGGCAAAACTGAAAAACACACTTCATTCTCGGTTGAAAGCAAAAGTATCCCTTTTCATTTTCCCCCCTAACATTACAGTCACAAAAAACCCTAATTTTCCCCCTGAATTTTGGGATGAAGCATATGAAGAAGGCATTGTGTACCTAATGTTGAATAGGGCTCCCTTTTTCTTTTGCTTTTGTGCCAACCAGACACTAAGCACCACAAGACCAATTTCCAGAAAGCCCACGAATCCAATTGTCATGACAACTCCGCCTTTCATGCCCCCACCATTTCTAGATATTGTGATTGCAATAATATTTAGAGCAGGTATAGTTAATCTTGCAGTGGGTTTCTTAGGGGCAATTGCTGATAAGGCTGAGCTAGTTGGAGCATCAATTTGGGATGCATTATTTCGAGAGGCAGGGGGAGAAGGTAGAATAAGAGATGTGGTGATGGGAGGAGGAGACACCACCGAAAGTAGAAGGGGATTTAACAAGGATAGAGCTTGGGAAGAAGCAGGTAATGGTAGAGGAGGTAATACAGGAGATGGAGGGTTGTGAGCGGTGACTTTGGGCTTGTTTGGAATCTCAAGTTTTTAGCAAGTTTGTATAATTCTAGTTTTTTAACAACTTTTGCTACAGGAATCCCAAAAAATTGATCAAAGTTTTTAACATACACACTTCAAAATAATACACAAAAAACTTTCCCTTCAACTTTTCTTCTTTTTCCCCCCCACCCACCTCACAACGTCTTCCGTCGCCGGCCACCACCTCCACCACCACTTTCGGCGCCGGTCACTATTCCAGTTGTTATTGCCGGCCTTTTTTTTTTTTTCTCTCCCTCTCCCTCACCTCTTTTCCCCTCCCCATTTGACTGATCTGTTGGTGTATGTCTATTTTTTCCTTTTTTTTCTTTCTCCCTCCCCCCTCCCTTCTGCCTCCCCTGCCACCATCCCCTTCCTGCTAGCTGCGATATGGTCACGCGACCAGATCGTAGCTAGGGGAGGGGGAGGATGGCGGGAGAGGGGAGGAGAGAGGAAGAGACAAAGCTAAAAAAAAAAAAATCCATGGTTGCAACAACTCTGGTGTCGGAGGGGGAGGGGGAGGGGAGATGAGAGGGAAAGGGAAGGGAAGAGGGCAAAGGTGCCGGGGGAGGGGGAAGGGAGAAGAAGAAGAAAGAAAAGAAAAGAAAAAAGTTTTTCAACCTAAAAATTTTTCTTACAACTTCTACAATAATCTACAGTAAAATTTTAGACAAACACTCAAAAAACTCACCTTAGGCCTTTATAGCGGGAGGTGGTGGAAAAACTGAGGTAGGTGATGCTGGGACTGCAATTGGCCGAGGAGGAGAGAGTCAAAGAGCTGGAGAAGGAGGTGTTGTGCGAAAAGAAGGGGAAGGTGATGGTTGTGGGGGAGGAAGGGGTGATAAGTTTACAGATGGAGGAGGGGCAGCAGGGAGTGGCGATGGTGACACAGATGGAAGGGGAGGAAGGGACGGAGAAGGTAAGGAAGGGAAAGTGGGCGGTGTTGATAATGGTAGTGGTGATGATTGGGGTTGGGGAGGAGGGGAAAGGTAAGTAAGGAAGTATGTTTTTCAATTTTGCTCTTAAAAATATATCCACGTGAAAGAGACGTGCTATTTTCAGTCGAAAAAATGAGCAAATACGAGCATTAGGATAAAAATGGATCATAATTTATATGTTAGGCACGATTCTGGCTGATTTTAAATATTGGAGATTAAAAAAGTTTTTTATAAAAATATTATGGACCAATTTGGCAAATTTCCCTTATCGTTTATGGTTCACGTATAAAAGAACAACTTACAAAAACATGAAAACTCAAATTCAATTCAACTACACTATTTGAACAGCTGCTCAAGCCTAACCAAAATTTGAGTTGAGTTGAGCCAGAGCGCTCCTTTGTTTCGGCGGTCAACCAAATCGCGAAGAGGAAATACAAGAAAAAAAGAGAGGAAAATAAAGAAGACAAAAAAGACCGAACCTTCTCCTTCCTAAGCTGCTTACTCCCTATGCAGTAACCAGAGGCAGGCAAAGCCATCTGCCAAAAATATGTTTAGAACCATCTCTCGTATTCGCCATATACAATCATTGCTCAGCCCCAAATCCCTCGTTTATACTACATTAACCAACCATATCCCAGGCTATGACACCCATCCCAGTCTACTCAGCCCTTCAAATTCCTTTTTCGAAAGCCCAAAGTTGCATTCTTTTCTCTCAACCCTTTCTTTTCCATTTTCAAGTTCTCAGATTCTTCAGCGACGCCATCAAGATGGAGAGTCTATTGAAAACAATGAGCTTGTTAGCCGCCCTCCCAAGCTCTTCGTGGTTCAGCCGCGGTTTCGGCCTGAACCCGTTTTGCAATGGAAGCTTGAAGAGGCTTTGAACCTCGCGAATTCGCTGGAAGAACAGAGAGATGGTTACTACGACACCGAGTTTTCGGAGAAAGAGTTGCCCCCTCATGTTGTGGTGCAGAATCCGATTGACCGATCACCTCGTGCTGGTCAGTTTTCCGGATTTATTTACTAGTATCCCTTTGTGGAATACAGCAGTAAAGTGATGAACTTTCTGATAAACTAGTGTTTGATTATTAGCTAAATTTTATATCTTTTTTATCCTTTTTAAAACAACAGTACACAGTAAGATGTTGAGCTGAACCAAAAGTTGGAAGTAGCTTTATCAGATTGTGCTTTATTGCAGATACTTATTTTAGGAAAGGAACAGTGGACACAGTTAAATGCCATCTATATGCCTTGGACTCGAAGGTATGCTTTTGGGATACTAGGTTGGCTTGCTATTTCTTTGTCTTGATTACTCAGCTGAATTCTTTTAGTACGCAGAAGTTGTTAACATTTTTCTGTCTTAATAGGACGAGGTGGATGCTATATTTGTGAATGCAAGTCTTTCGGGCATTCAACAGAGGAATTTGGAGGTAAGTTTTAATTTTAATTGCCTTCTGCGGTCTGCGGTCTGTTTAGACAAATCCACCTACTTATCTACTCTATATATTGTATGAATATCATTTGATCATTTTTACCCATTTGTTTGTCTTTTTATTCAAATGACAGCGTATTTGGGGCAAACCTGTTTTAGATCGCGTGGGTCTGATCATAGAGATCTTTAATGCTCATGCACAGACAAAGGAAGCAAAGCTACAAGTATTGAGCGAATATTCTGCCTTCTACCATTGTTACTATTGTTGTTACCATTATTCGTACAAGTTTCAAATATTTCATCTTTGATCCATCATTGACCCACAGGCTGAGTTAGCAGCTCTTATGTACAAGAGATCAAGGCTTGTCCGTGTTCGTGGTCCTGGTGGGCGCTATACATTTGGCGGAGCTGGTGAAGCAGAAGTAGTCAGTGCCAGAGGGTAAGTACATTGTTTGAAGTTCCTCAGTTACTGCTCAGCCATGTGATACATCTTTAGTAAAAGTCCTCAAAAGGAACAAGAGAGAAAAATTACCTAGTATGGGAATATTCATTCTTATGATAGACGTCTATTGTTTAAAACCAATTGATGTCAGATAGAGCCTTTTGCTTATTTTGTAGCCTTTGTGGTTTTTGTTCCAATCTTATGCACTTCCTTGTGACTTGCAGGAGAGGAAGTGGGGGGCGTGGTTTCATTAGTGGTGCAGGAGAAACTGAACTTCAACTCCAAAGACGGAGGTTTGATCATTGACTTTAAACCTTGCACTCAACTGATTCTTAGATTGCCATTTTACAGGTATCTTCTAAATGTCTGTATATGCAAAAGAAATATGTAAGTCAAGGGGATTGAGATAGAAATGGATATGATGGTTGGTTCTCTACTTTATTTGTATTGAAGTACACTCCTATTAAACGAAGGGTGGTATGGGGTAACTGACTTAAAAGCATGGTATCCAGAAAGTCCTAGTTTGACTTCTAACTTTATCATGGCAAGTTAGTTGAGAGTTCTGTGTCTTTTTTTGACTTTGTCCTGGAATGTGGTGTAAAAAGAAGCGAAGAGTTGAATGTTGAGCGGGGACCTTTTTTCACTAGTGAAAACATTTTGTTAACAGGATCAGTTCA